AGTCCACCATGGACAGAGGCTGGTCCCCAGCAGCAGCTCCTGTCTGCAGGAGGTCCACGGGGCAGTAGTGCAGGGCTGCAGGGAGCCAGTTTGTGCAAGGAGCCAGTTTTTAAACTGGCTCCACTTGCGAACCAGCTCCCGCCTGGCACCCCCTGCCGCTGCTTCTGATACAGGGGCAGCAGCACAGGGTGGCAGGGGGCTCCCCGGGAGAGGGGCCATGGAGCACAAAGACTTCCGGTCCCACCCCAGGGGACTACAGAATAGTCAAGTAATGGATAAGAATTCATGCAGTTACTCAACTATTCTATTACCTGATATCCAACATCCCTATTCAAAATACCCATATATCTTTCTTTACATAAGAACTTATTATTCCTTTTGCCTTCCAGGTTATAGAATGGACACTTTAGCAGTTTCCTAGTTCAGCTCAGCACTCACTAACAAAGAATAGGGAGTTGGCCCACTCCAGTTAGAGAGTAGGGACCACTGGCTTCAGACTAGTAGAGAAAGGGAACTTCTTGTAGGAATAGTTTAAATTAGATTACCCAAAAGATCTCTTCTAGTATTACATTTTATTGATATAATAGTTAGAAGGAGCAGGATTAAGCATGCTACATTTCTCACAACTTTTTTATGATAAGATAACATTTAATTTGAAGAGTAATAGTTTGGGACAGTTGAATTTCCTGTCCTATATCTTTCTTTATTTCTAATCTCAAAGTAACCCCCCTAGTAACACAAGTTAAAATCTCCTTTACTATATTTCCATGACTTCTCTTAAAAGTCTGAACAATTGTGAAGTTATTTAATTTGCAAATATGGCTTTAGAAGTTACTTAATTTTTAAGCAAACTAACATACTTTTAAAATTCTTCCTGTTGGATAGCGCAGATCTTGACTAATAAAAAGGCCCAGCGTGGTGAGGATTATTAACCGATGATTTGTTAAGATTATATTCACAAGTGACAGGCCAGCACAATCTTATGGAAAAAGGGAAAAAACAGCATCACTGCTTCATTTGTTATATTCATTCATACATCTGTCATTACTATATTCTATGCACAAGCCAAAGAATCACTTAGCCCAATGGTTCCCGACTTGTGATCCACGAGGACACTGCAGGGGGTCCATGGAAAGTTTTTAGAAGTAAGGATCGGGCACAACCATGGTGGGCCTAATTCTTTTCTTTTCTTCTCCCACACCTCCTATAGCACGGAAGTGAGCAGCAGCTGTGTGCACCAGGATGCAGCTTGCTTTTGATCCTGTTCTCTGGAAGCTAAGGAAGCATGGGGAAAGCATGTGCATGCTATGCATGCCTCATGCCTGGCTGGTGTGTGAAAGGCATGCACGGTATGCAAGCACTTCCCCCTCACTCCTTAGGCTAGGTCTATACTATACCCCTCTGTTGGCAGAGGGATGTAAATAAAGCATATCAAAAGTGCAAATGAAGCGGGGGTTTAAATATCCTGCGCTTCATTTGCATAATCATGTTCTGGCGCTGTTTTGAACAGCGCCATTTTGAAACTGAAACCGCGGTTTAGACATGGTTCTGCCGACAGCGGGGTGATTTTTTGACAGATCCTGTACTCCTCTTTTGCACTTCCGATGTGCTTCATTTACATCCCTCTGCCGACAGGGGGGTGTAGTGTAGACATGGCCAAAGCGTGGTCTGCAGACTACTAGTGACCTCAGCCATCTTGCAAATGGGCCACAGGCTTAGGGCTCACCTCCCCTGCAGCGGGGAGTCTGCACTGGTGAGGTTGGAGCACCAGTGCTGGCTTTCTGCTGTAGGGCGGGGAGCCTCATGGTCTGGATATGGCTTGTGGGGGAAAAAGTGGCTCCCCCCCCAGCTGGGGGAATGGCAGTGCAGGAAATTGGTTGCCTAGAGGCTTTTCCCACTGTTCCCATTGGCCAGAATCACAGCCAATGGAAGCAGCAGGGATCTGGGAAAGCACCGAGCCCAG